GGCCGTGCTCGGGACCAGCCCTCGTCCTGTGGTCCGGAGAGGTCGGTGATGCTCCGAGTGGAGTCACCGAATCCGTTCGTCTTTCGTACCTGTGAAACGAGCTCTGCTTTTTCCAGGGGTTATGCAGATTGCTGTTACAGCGTGCTTTAAGACCCTGAACTTAGCCAACCACACATCTTTTGTCAGTCTCTAGTGAGAAAGTCCATGCCTATCTGGGGCCCGGGCTGTAATCCGGAGTTGCCCTGTCTGGATCCTGTAAAGAGTGAAATATTCCTCTAGGGCTATCATTGGAGTCTCGTTGTTTGAAACTAATTATTTTTATCTGTTGTAGAAAGCGCTTAAATATGACCTGTGCCCTTGCACACCTTTGCAAATACACCTTTGTGGTGTATTTCCACTTCCCCTTGCTTGAATACAAGAGGAGGCTCCCTCTGCCTGTCCTTTGCTTTTATTTAAATTCTGCCACAAGTGGGGAGTTTCCTTGCCTCATCCTTAAGTCTGTGACAGGTGTCTTTTGTCAGGAATTATTCACTTTGCTGATTAAGCAAAGGTTGTTGATACCAGTGTCATCTGTAAACAAATTTATAGCAATAATAGTGAAGGAGTACTTTATTCTTCTGTCTGATAGAAATATTAACAGAATCATTTGCAGTAGAGCTATTTTCAGGACTCTTATGGTATCAAGTTAGTTTAAAAAATGTTACTTTTTTTGGTAATGATTCCCTGTTTGAAACAAAACAAAAAAATCTGATTCTTGTGGATTCTATCGACTTGCTCACCAGAAGAATTTCAAGTACTTGGCTAGATTATGAATAGCAAAAGAAAATATATAGCATGTGGGAGCTTTACTATTAAATAAATGTAAATCTGGAAGTTTAGCAAGGCAGCTCCATCACAGAAGCTCAGAATGTAAGGAGTAAAACTTGTGTTTGCACATGGAAGCATACTTTGGGTATGATGCTTCTAAGTACATTGATAGTTTCTTCAGGTGACCACCAAAACATTTGAGTGCAGCTCTTAACACAGGAATAGACATGATCTTTAAGGTTGAGAACAATAAAGGATTCATGTATGAAATTATTTTTTTGTCTTTTAGTGGTGTTCCTTAGAAAAGAATTCATCTGTTGCTGCCCTGGGGTTAGTCTGGGTTTTTTGGAAAACAGACTGAAAACAAAATTGTGTGTGTGTATACACACATACGTGTGCATATCATCAGCAGGTGGTCCCAAGCCTGGTATTTTGCTGGTTCTATGTCTTCTTGTTACCAGATTTTAGAGTTAGGAAAAATTATTTTCAAATTAGATGTGTACTTTGTAGTCAGATATGGCTAATGAGAACTTCGGACATGTATCCACTTTAGTAATGCTCCGGAGATGGAAAGAGTTTTTCTTGGGTTTTCTGCTGTCCTTATCCTTAGGGACGTGTATGTGTTATTAGCTTCTTCCAGATGCTGGTCAGTTGGCAGATGATTCCTCTGTGAGGTATGAGGGTTTAGATCACTAATTTTGAATAGAGTGGTTATGTGTGTATGGGCATAGCATTTCAGCATTTTCACAGAATCACAGAATGGTAAGGATGGATTTTTGTCCATCTTCATGCAGTCTAGATACTGGCTGTGTTGACTGCCTTTTAATGTAGCTCCATGACAACGATGCTAACAAATTCAGTAATTAAAATATGTTTGTTGTGATCGCCCAGATATCTTGTTCCTTTTAAATCTTAAACCAGTTCATTTAGAAGTAAAATGAGTCCAATAGCCATCGCATCACCCCTGGTCCAGTCTAAACACAGGCTGCTGCGAAGAGCAATCTTTTTGTACCCCGCCTAGCACTGGATCTCCCAAGTGCTGATCCAACTGACCCCATCGCTTTTTGAGAATCTAGGGGGGAGCACAGTTTTCTGTCAGATGAGTTTGCTGATCTGACTGTTCCTGAGAACAAGAAGTTGCTAGACTGGGAGCGAGGAGCAGGAAGGGTATTTCACTGGGGAGGAGAAAAGGGGAAGAGACGCTCTGCAGTTGGTGACACCCTGCCATTGGACTGTGTTGGAGGTAACGTGAAACTGCACTTCGTTGCTATACTTAAGTGTTTGGCAGCAGTGCTGCTTGAGACACCCTTCCTTTGCTGCATATTATTAAAATGATTGTGTGGCCACGTGCTGAGCTGGAACTCATTGCTACTGCTGCTGGGTTATGTTGCGGATAGATGAAGTTCCTGCCGTGTTTCATTGTGTGGTAGCACAAATGCTTGACTGGCACAGTGCTGTCAACAGCATAGGGAAAGGAAAGCAAAGGCTTCTTGCATCCATGAAAGATCTGATTTGATAGATGTACTCAGACTATGCTAAGCACTCACTGGCGGCAATAAAACACAAAGCCGCTTCCCTGGAGAGTACCCAAAGGCATCAAGGCTACGTAATAGTCGTAAGTGGAGATAGTCTCCACGCTTATTGTGAATCCCACCGTTAGGAATCCAGTTGCGAGTCTGAGACTAACAAGTAAATGAATTTCCTTCCACCTTGGAACAGAACATAGCCTCATTTGATAGTTAAGCAAGTCGTGACAAAGCAGGCTCTTTATGAGAAATTAAACTTCCATTGAATTGTGAAAATGGTGACATGTTAAATCACCATTTTTATTAAGTTGATTACTGTGACTACTTCATCTACATAGAACTGTTGTGCAGTAAGGCAGGCTGTGGATGGATGGCAAATCCTCTAACTTCTTTTGATGCGCTGTTAGGATATTGACAGTGTTTACGTTAGTGTTTAATATTAAAAAAACCCCAAGCAACTGTTAATGTTTGGGATTTTACTTCAGAAGTTACTTTTTGTTGAAAGGAACATAAAAAGTTAAAAATGTCAAATAGGAATGACCTTATTGTATAAAAGATAAATGTAGAACTAATTATGCTTGACTGATTAATCAGAGATCTGCAACAACATGTAGTCTTTAAGAGTAGGAGGAAACTGGGAAAAGGATCGTTATGATTTTGTGTCTGTAGTTATGAGAAGCTGCCCCCCCAACCCCTTGAAGATGGTGTGTCTTGGGATTCAGTTGTTTATATTTGATGTGATCATTCTAACCTCAGTAAGATACAGAATTTCCGGCAGTCTGGGTAGATATGTAGATTTCAGACTCCAGAAATGGAAAGACTCTGAATGTTGGTGGAACAGTAGCTCTGCTAGAGTAGTAATTACTTGTCTCACATTTTAGCACCATGCTGGTATAAAGGGATTCATATTCCTTCCATGCCTGTGTTCTGTAAAGCCTTGGATGTGTTTCAAGAAGATTTTAGGCTCCTCACTACAAGAAGGACATTGAGGTGCTGGAGCATGTCCAGAGAAGGGCAACGAGGCTGGTGAGGGCTTAGAGAACAAGTCTTATGAGGAGTGGCTGAGGGAGCTGGGGCTGTTTATTCTGGAGAGGAGGAGGCTGAGGGGGGACCTTATTGCTCTCTACAACTACCTGAAAGCAGGTTGTAGTGAGGCGGATGTTGGTCCCTTCTCCCAAGCAACCAGCAATAGGATGAGAGGCAATGGCCTCAAGCTGCATCAGGGGAGGTTTAGATTGGATATTAGGAAAAATTTCTTTACAGAAAGAGTGGTCAGACATTGGAACAGGCTGCCCAGTGATGGGGTTGAGTCCCCATCCCTGGAAGTGTTTAAAAAAACGTGTAGATGTGGCACTTTGGGATATGGTTTAGTAGACATGGTGGTGTTGGGTCGACGGCTGGACTTGATGATCTTAGAGGTCTTTTCCAACCTATGATTCTATGATTTGTCGAACGTTATCTATTAAGGGAAAGGTAGTCCTGCATGGCTAGACAGCTGCACTGCACTGCCTTACTCATGACACTGTGTACATTGTCTGCTTGAGTACAGCTTGGAAGCTGAAAACTTACAGAATGCCTTTGGGTTATTGTTTAGGTGTATGATACAATGGCATGCTGCCTTAATTATGGGTAGGAAAAGGTTGCTTGCAAAATTAATGTTAGAATACAGTGTGCATTAGAGTAACTAAGAGCTTGTTTATAACAAGTTGTTGATGTTTGCTGTTGTGCAGTTTTTTAGTGCTATTTTCTTGAACAGCTTGTGATATAATGTATATCTTCCTTGGTTTCAACCTTAAAAGTATCATTCCATAAGGAAACCTCAGATTTGTTTTATTAAACTGAGACTTATTTTTACTATAATTGGTGTTTATGTAATATTTCTAGCATATTCTGTAATGGGTTCCACTTTGGGGGTGTGTATGTGTGGAGACACACTGTAGTAAATGGTGAATCAGGAAACAGTGTGCCTTTTGTGACATGTTCTACCTGTTTTTTTTATAATACTTCCTGTTACTTTTGCATTCTTTAAAAAAATATTGTTGCAGGATATAGGTGCATTTCAGACGTCTTTGGGTGGATAGAAGTGCAGGATTTTACTTTCTGAATACATCTTCACATAGAGATGAAGAAAAGGGTTTCTGTTGAGAAATAAAACAATAAGAAGGTCATACGTAATTTTATATAACTTTATATCTGTGAACTATGCATTTTTAGCTTCTTGGCACTTGATATGTGAATTTAGATATTGAGACAAAAGCTGAAATTCATATGTCTAAGGTAATATTAATTATTTCTGTCTTAATGAAAGATCTGTGATCATTTCACATGCATCATTTTTGCTCTGTTATAGGTTGCTAATTTACCTTCTAGTGAAGCCTTGTAATACAGCTGGAAAGACAGAATCCCTGAGAGACTGAAGGTTAACAATGCAGATAGGAATGACTTCTTAGTTGTATAAATTCTGCTTGATTCTGATATGTATAAAATGGGCGAAAGATGTATTTTGAAGAATAATGCCTGTCTCCAGCGAAATGTATCTGAAAGCCCTGAATCCTCTGCAAGTGCAGACTTCTTGGGTTGTATTTGATAAACTTTACTTTTTGTAGCCTGAAAACATGCACTCTTAAATGGCACAGGAGAATAGGCAGGGAAAATAGCTGTCAGATGTTCTTATGAACACAGAATTTCATCACCAGATGAAAGAAGTGATCAAACTTTTCATTGTTTGTTTTTTTTAATTAAATCTTTTGAATAAACAAATTGATATCTATTATATAAAGCTTCGTAAAAGATGAACAATGTGTTTTCTTTCTTTCTAGCACTAGAAAGTTTGGGGTTTGGCTCCTATATCAGTGAAGTAAA